GACTACAGACATTGCTGCAAAAGAGAGGTGGAACTAACCAGGTGCCATAAAGTTGAAGTCAAAGTGACTGAAGGAGTGATGATGATGAAATGGAACCAGGTATAGATATTAAAGTAGAGCAGGAGAAAGATCAAGATTTGAAGCCAGTATTTGGATTTGTAAAAGCAATTGTTTTGCGCCCTGCTTGGGAGAAGGTGTCTAGCTTAAGCCCTGTGACAAAGAAATATTGGGCACAATGGGACCAGTTGAAGCTTGAAGATGGTATTCTTCTCTGGAGATGGGAAACTGCAGATGGGAAAGTGATGACCTGGCAAACGGTTATACCGAGAAAGTTATGGGAAGTTGTGCTGCGTCAATCCCACGATAGTTTAACAGGAGGACATCTTGGAGTTATGAAGATATTGAGTCACCTACGGCAGAGATTTTACTAGATAAGTATGTGGCAAGATGTGAAAGAATGGTGCAGGACCTGCAGTACATGTTGTGCTAAAATGGGGCTCAAGCATAAGGGCCGTGCTCCAATGAAGTTATATCAAGTTGGTGCACCAATGGAAAGAGTAGCTGTGGACATTGCTTGTCCGTTGCCCCGAACTCGTGCTGGAAACAGGTACATTTGTGTGGTGATGGTTTATTTCACAAAGTGCCCTGAGACATATGCAATACCAAATCAGGAAGCTACAACTGTAGCTTTAGCTATTAATGATTTCTTCTTCAGGTTTGGTATGCCATACGAACTGCAGTCAGATCAAGGCCGTAACTTGGAATCAGCTGTGTTCCATGAATGCTGTAAGTTGTTTGGCATACGAAAAACCATGACAATGCCACTTCACCCACAGTCTGATGGGATGGTAGAAAAGTACAATTGGAAACTGGGACAGGAATTGGCATAGTTTTGTAATAGTCGCCAAGATGACTGAGATGTCTTACTCCCTCCACTGTTGATGGCCTATAGAACAGCAGAGCATGAAGCCACTAGATACACTCCAGCAAAGTTGATGTTTGGTCAGGAACTTCGGTTGCCAGTGGACCTGATAACAGGATGCCCACCTTACGAAGAGTTGCCTGAAAATGTGTCAGAGTTAGTGAAAGTGTTATCTGAAAGGATGGATGATATTCACCATCAAGTGCATTCAAACTTGAAAACGTCTGCTGATACCATGAAGCTATGTTATGATAAGAGATCTACTGAAGTCAGCTTTGTACCAGGAGACAAGGTGTGGTTGTATAATCCCAGGAAGACCAAAGGGAAGTCTCCTAAGTTGTCTTCTCTATGGGAAGGCCCCTATGACATAATGGATCGTCTCTCAGACGTGACATTCCGAATAATATGTGGTCGGTGAGGTAAGCCAAATGTGTTGCATGCCAACTGGCTTTGGCATTATCACAGTCCAGGATATTTCAGTTTGAATGAAGTGAACTACGGAACAAATGATGCTGCTGAAGATGTGTCACCTGAAAAAGCCACTGTCGAAGAAGAAACTCTACCCAGTTTTGAGAAGGAAAACAGTGAAGTCGTTAATGAAATTACTACCACTGATATGACTGTTACCAATAATGGGAGCAGATGAACCCCACGTGAAGCAGAAGCCAATGAGACGGAGACCAGTACAGAAGAAGATATGTCCTGTAAAATTAAGAGACTTTGTTGTATTTTAATTTTGTGTTTATAAATTCTGTACATTTAATTAAGTTATTGTTAATTATCTATTGACTAAATGTAAGTGGCTATTGGTCGGGCTGGAGTTTCTCGAATGATCATGAAGGCCCAAGTGCATTCAAAATGCCCTCTTTTTAGTATATAAGCCTGGCGAGAAAAACCAGCGGGATTGAAGAGATAGATAATTGAGTAAAGCGAACAGTAGGCACCGTAAGTAAAGTGTGTGAATCACTGTGATTTATAGCGTGTGTTATAAAAGTAGTTAAGTTTAGAGACGTCCTGACTGTGGAAATTCTGTGTATTACAAAGTTTGTATGGCAGTAAGAATAAATCAGGTTAATCAAGAAAGGACTTGTATCACTTAAGTTTCTTGGAAAGAATTTATACTGCAAACTAACAAACAAGCAGATATGCAACAATATAAACACACACACACACACACACACAGAGAAAATAACACTAAGTTTAAAGTAACAATTAGGCCTAAACACCCTGAGTAATCAGCTACATAAATAAATGCCTTTCATGCTAAATCCCTCACATAAAAATCTGAGTATCAGTGCAAAAATGATTAAACAATACAACAACTATCTACCAAAATATTAATATCTATATAATTAAAAAAGTTCATTAAGGTTATTGAGTACATCTAATTACAACCTTCTGAACAAAAAACAACTGGCAGATCTAAAAACCATGAAAGGAGGAATCATTTCCTTGACAGAAGACACTAGTCTTAATAAAATATCCAGAGATTGAAATTCTTATCTACTTTTTTAACTTTAAACAAATTGAAAAGCTTGGAATAATGCTTCTTCCTTTGATTTACATTACCAGAATATATGAGAAGCTTACTCTGTCAAAACTTACTTTTCATCTAAAAGAGAAAGAAGATGGAAGAAATAGAACAGACTATAATAATCATTATTAACACAATGACTTGACTGAGATACATGTAAGCCATATGTAAATATCAACTTAAAGTCTGTAATTATATAGAGCATTAGTAAACTTCAAACATAGCAGACTTCAATATACATTTCTAACACATGCATCAAAACAAGGACTGTAATATAGTATACACCATCAACACACCAAACTATGACATGGACTGACATATATCACTAGCAAATTTTAGAACATAACTGGGCATACACACCAGTAACACACTTCAGAATATAACATGTACTATCATATACATCACTAACACAGTTTAGGATATAAAATGCATTGTGATATACACGAATAAACAAACTTATAACATGGATTGGGATATACATTGCTAACACATTTCTAAACATAACATGAACTGTTATGAACATTGTTAATATGCTCCAAAATATAAAAAAGTAGCAGATATTTGTGTCAATTACAGCAAATTTATAATATTAGTTATTTTTAGCTTTAAAAAAAAAACTTTACCATTTCTCCTCTGATAACATCACATTTCTTTTTGGTTTCTTCCACTTTTTGCATCACTAACCTGTTTTTGTTCATACCAGAAATGTCTTTTATCTATGATAGAAAGGAAAATAAGTATTCTGACACACAGTTTGCCTTTTTCATGCTTAAAACACTTAGTATTTAAAGTTATAGGTTATATCTAGAAAGACTGTCATTTCTTGATATGTAAAAAGGATTTAAATAAAATTACTAAGGATTAGAAAATCTAAGCTTAACAATATAGACAATATCTAAAATTTCTATATAAAACAGTGCTCAGTCAAAACAACTATGAAAACTGGAAATACGCTACATGATCAAATAAATTGAAAAGAAAAAGCCAAAAGTTTATAACAAATTTCAAACTATTTTTTTCATGAAACTGAGAATTAAGACTGCTGTTAGAATTGTGATCATAGGATGTAGGAATACAAGCACTTCAAATGAAATGTTAAGAAACAAATTTCATTTATTAACCCTAAGTGCACAGGTAGGGGTCAAAGAGAGCATGTCATAACCTTTCATAGGAGGCCACACAACATGGTATGTATTTGATATAAGAGTTACCAAATATTAATTTTACCCTATACTGCTGATTTAGTGACAGTTTGTGGTAAGTACCAGATACAAGACACAGAGATACTGAAAATACCGTATATCTGATGTCCTAGGGGTTATGCAAATACAATATACAAACTATATGATGAACAAAAGTATTATTATTTTTCACACAAATATTACCTTGCACTTCAACTTGTCAGACTCAAACTGACATCATTAATTCACAGACTTTTGTAACGCATCTAATTTTTTGTGTATAACAGACTTGTATCGTTTACTGAAAGCTCACCAAATGTCAGATAAGGCATAACTGTCCCTTGACTTAACTGATAAGTAAACCTCCCTGCATGAACCATAATGTCTGTGGATGGAGAGAAAACTAAACATTTGTTCCCAGACCTTGCAGGCCTCAAGTAAGGTGCAGGCTCAAAAGCAACTGAGGAAAGACCCAAAACATCACACACTCAACAAACTAACTGAAGAAAATGAATCAAAAGCAGCTTATTCGAAAGTGATTTTCTTTTTTTGTTTAGTATTTCATTTAAAGATTGTGTTGATTAACAATGATTGGAACAACATTTAGTCAGGTAAGTCTGTTTTGTGAGAGCAATGTTGGGCTATCTGCTGTGTCCACTATAGTGAATTGAACCTTAAATTCCAGTGCTGCAAGCCTGTAAACTCACCACTGTCCCACAGGAGGACTGAAAAGCTAGCAGATGAAAAGAAGGTGCAGAAAAATGAATCTGAATTCTCTCCAGAATGTCGAGGATTGCTCTCAATTATAGTCTCAGAGCCTCCCGAAGGAACACCACAGAGCCAAATATATATGTCTCTATCTTATCATGTATAAGATCACTGACAGTCTCAGCTGAGAGTGACCCCCCCAATTGTTGTGTAATGCTAGATCTCAGAGGTGGGATAAGAGAGACCTGACTGGCCTCCATGCCAGAGATAATAATCCAAGAATTCATACTGTAAACCGGCTTGTCAATCTGAAAAAACAATTACTATTTCATTTTTTTTTACAAAACTATCTAGGTAACACAGAGAACGTTCAAAGTATGTCCGATTGACTATAGCATTGAGAAACCCATTAGTAGCACTTTGTCAAGATAAAGTGATAATTTTATCTGAATGAGGTGCTTATATACAGTAGAGGGTGCACTGACATAGGTGAGAGACAAATATTGCAAAGGGCAATTAAGTGGGGTATAAAAGACTGAAGAAAGTGAGAAAAAATCAGACCAATGCTTAGATAAGCAAATGAAGAAACCTTGGCAGTCAAGTAATAGCTATAAGTTTGAGAAGAGGTAAGAATGTTTTGGAAATAAACTTCTCACTTATATATCGTATCTTCATGACTGAAAAATAGTTTTAGATTCAGAAAAATTCTTAAACTATAGTATATAAATAAACAATGTGTTTATATAGTCTTGTATTATTATAGCATTTATTATGTACATACATGTGCAGGTTTTACATACCATGTGATCAAGATAGCTGTTAAGTTGATTTTGTTCTACCTGTCTTTGTTCCTTTGTAATTTCAGATGAAATAGTAAAAAGTATTGCTGCAATACTGCATGATGTGCTGTGCAATAGTGTTGACAGTAGTATCCAATGGTATTTTAGTTAATATCTGGAGCTTAGAGCCTCACCTATGTCTGAATGTGGGTAACACTTATAGCTCTCAGTAACTACTTTTCTTATAAAGAAAAAAACATTGGATTTAGACAGTCTATTTCATAAATTTAGCCTGATCAGTTGAAGAAAGAACATCCAGTAAAAGTAAGTCTATTATTCCATACACACACTGCGTTTGTGTTAAGTGTGACATCAATCAGGGTTGTTAATTTAATTTTTAAATTTGTGTTCAGTCTCGATATTTCATTCATTTTCATGATTTAGTTTTTCATAGACTTAGCATTATTTTGTAATAAACATCCTCATCAAATCTCTGGTTATTCTGTGGACCTATCCCATTAGATTTAAGTAAATACAATTTCACCTGGATATACCACAAAACAACAAAATATACCTCACTTTCAACATATTAGAGAAAGATCCCAGGAAGAAGTCCCAACAATAAAACATAAACCTATATTTAATATACACATAATATAATAACTTTACAAATTATTAACCTATGCCTAAATCATACATAGGAAAGAAATCCTGCAACAGATTATAAACAGGAAACCTACCTGACATTACTATTTCAAAATAATAATAACATAAAAGCATAACTTAGAAATTTCCAAATTTCAGAGTAGTAACATTTTCTTAGCTCAATCAATTCATTGCAATCTCAGGATTACATTTAGCATTTTACATATTCTAAATTAGTATGTTTAGATAGCACTGTATACAAGATTTTGTTGCAAAAAGGCTATTTGAGTCAATTTTATAATTTCAGGTACCTAATATTAAGCTTTTATTAAAAATTTCATTTCTTATTTTTACTATACCTTTATGAAAGAAAATATGCTGAGAAGCTGTACAATTTAAATACAAATATATTCCACTACCATATAACTAAAATAAAACATAAATGTATATGCTGACATTTATTACATATCATTAGAAGTTAATTTCAGTTATAACTTATAAAGCTATCAAAATACTGGTATACAAAATTAGCAGTTTTAAATGTCATTAAACATTGTAAACAAATAGGCCTACATAAAAAAACAAAAGATATACTTAGTAACTTAAAAAACAAAAACAATTCTACATTGTCATTGCAAATCCAATAATCACAGATTTTGAAAATGTGCTGGTAATGAATATTTATAAAATAATCTACATTTTTTTTGTATTACACACAGAGCAAAAAATCTAATTTTCTTAAATTTTAACTATAAAAGTATAATTATCTCAGTACAGGACTATGAAAGAGTTCTGACAAATAGTAAATTTTGAAATTTTCTACTAAACAATTTATGTTGTATTTAATATTAATATTTCACAACTTTTAACTTTTAGTAATTTTACATACATATTTATGGTCACATTACTGTTTACTTTTTTAGTTTTACAACAAAAAATATCATTAATGTTATTGGTATTGCTACAGTTTCATCATTTAGAAATATAACTTCTTAGTGCTTTGTTTAACTAAGCTCAAAATTAAAATATATAACTGTTTTTATCATATTTTTTATTTATCTGACCTACACTACAGTCTTAAGCTTAAAAATGTCAATAATTCTGTATATTGGCCAGCATTTCAATTACCAAAAACAATTAGTGAATTACTCCTGGAAATTTCTCTCTGCCTTGTATTAGAAATAAAACTATGTATATAAATAACGATTTGAAATTTGATTGCAAACAAGATTTTATTTAAACTTGCACATTGTTTAGTATCATTTAACAAACTGGACATACAGATATGCTTTTACACTTTTACAGCCCTTTGAAATATATATCTGAGTTGTGATATTCAATACAAAAAGCATGCATTTATCAGAATAAAGTTTTATATATCTATTTATTAATTAGAGTGTCAATTATCAATTATTCTTATTAGAGCATGCTAACTACATATATTATATCACAACTATTAGTTGTACTAAATACATTATTTAATAAAGTATTGACTTTCTGGAGTCTAGACTATAATTCAAGCCTCAATATAAACATTAATATTTACCTAATTCAGTTCGGAATCTGCACCCGTAACTATGTACTGATCTTTAAAATGTGGTTTGCCACCTACTGTATTGTAACTTAAATAAACCTGAAATATTTTACACTCAGTGAAATGACCTGTGGCATTTATCATAAAGTGACTTTCACCTTCTTAAAATAATTTAAATATAACATTGTCATTCGATGATACAATAATGAAGTAAAAACATACCAAACAAATATTGGGATTTTCATTATTATGTTATTATTTTATTTATTTATTATTATTATTTTTATTTATTTTTTTGCTGTTCCATGGTGGCTCAGTAGTAAGTGTGTGGGCTTATGACGCTAAAAGTCGTGTTTTGATATTCACGGTGAGTACAACACAGATACCCCATTGTGCAGCTTTGTGCTTAAATAAATGACTTACTTTTAATTTATGACTATATGTTTCTAATAATGAACTGATTTGAAACACACAGCGTAAGTTATTCGATGAAGAATATTACATCGGATTTTTCGATTCGTAGATGAAATTAAAGCGGTTGTTGCTACTGGATACAACCATGCCACAACGTTAGTTTGCTTGTTTTCAGAGTTGCGTGTATGTTTTAAGGGATTCAACAAAATGTTCACATATATGGATTTGGTCACTAAAATTTTCATGGAGGTTTTGTTTGTTTGTCTTGAACTTCGCGCATAGCTACACGAGGGCTATCTGCGCAAGCCGTCCCTAATTTAGCAGTGTAAGACTAGAGGGAAGGCAGCTAGTCATCACCACCAACTCTTGGGCTACTCTTTTACCAACGAATAGTGGGATTGACCGTCACATTATAATGCCCCCACGGCTGAAATGGCGATCATGTTTGGTGTGAAGGGGATTCGAACCGCGACCCTCAGATTGCGAGTCGAGCGCCCTAACCACCTGGCCATGCCGGGCCCCAAATGATTTAAGTTCAAAATTGGACTGATATTTTTACTTGCATGATAAATTTTATGCACTTGGCTCTAGGCTAGGTTATCTCACACTCTGTCTTTACTTTAGGCTTATTTATGAATTTCTTTAAATCATACCAACATTCACTATATTTACAAGGTTTCACAGCCTCCTTTGCAACCCAGTCACTAAAATCATAATGGACAAATCGTAATATATGCTAAAATAGAAACAGAAAGGTTGCAATTCATTTGCTTAAACCAAAAGAATATCCGAGTTGAAGACTGTGTCTACTTGCGGGATGCTA